GTGAGAGATGCACAAGTGCTTCTTTGAAGAAGTTTGGTTGTAAAGAGAAAGAGAAGCATAGAGCAATAGCTATAAGAGAGCTTAGAGGTGAGGAAGGATCTTTATAAAAAGATGAGACAGATAAACATGCTTAAATGATATTAGACATAGCTGCCCCTGATTAATAGACTATTAATCAGTCTTCCTGTCTAAAATTTCTACTTCATCTGGTTTAATATTCAACAAGCAATCTATAACAGACTAATTCTTTTCTTCTTAGCTTTGACAGCTGTGTTATAAATGGGGTCTTCTATAGATACAATACTCTAAAATAAAGGATCGCAATGCTAACCAGAAATCTACTATTCTTATTCTAAAGTCTTCTCTTTAGAAGCTATATTTTGAATGCTTTCTCATCTATTTTTACCATGAGCAACAATTTTATTTTTCTTATACATATTACATAGCCTGAGAGCAAACCCGATATAAGCAATTAAGATGGTACCAAAGGAATTAGTTGCTGAATACCACTAAGGATAGAACATATGAAAGTTTAGATGGGACAAGGAAAAAATGGGAAAACTATTTCCCTTGGCATATGGAAATCAGTTCTGCTGGCTGGTTGCCAAAGTCTGAATGATTAAAGTCAGTATGCTAGAAACTTTGAAGAAGATTTGAGAAAAGGTCTGTGCCCTCTTAAGAGTTTATTATGTCAACTACAAAAGAACAGTTTGCAAAAGACACAAATAAAGTGTGGAAGACTGAGATAAAGAATGAAACTTAGCAGAAGATAGGAAATAGGACATAAAAAAAGAATTGTTGAAGCCTTCGAAAGAAAAGACAAGGATGAATGATAAGCCAAAGAATGAGGAGAAAATACAATGAATCCTAAAGGTTGACCCCATTATACAGTATTAATATAAGAGACACTGAGCTGCAAGATAAGTTTACTAAATACTCTGGAGTAAGTTCACACAGTGACACCAAAATTTATGCAGGCGATGCCATAGTTATTTACAGTCTTTTTTTTTTTTAAATAAGAGAGAAATGCTATTTTGAAATAGAATCACACACTTGGAAGAACCTCAGAAGGACCTTGAAATATCATCTGGTTCTTGAAGGCAGAGTTAGTAGCAGCCTCCAACTGTTAATGTCCACAGGATCTGCCTCAGATCTCTAACCAAGGCCACACTCTTCCTGAGCATCCTCCACCAATAATTGAGTATGGCAGGATTAGTCAGAACCAGCCAGGCATGGAAAATGCAGGACTCCTCTTGCTCTGCTCCAGAGGTCCTTTATACATCGGCCAAGACATTTTCAGATCTATATTACAATCTGAGGCCCTCTGCCTGATTCTGCCTCAATCTTCTTTCCCTATCACAGGGATCAGATCAGCATCACCTCCTGAAGGCTTACCCTGTCTAACCATGCTCCCTCTTTTTTGTTCGATTTTTTTTTTTTTGATACCAGAGATTGAACACAGGGCACTTAACCATTGAATTACATCCCAGCATCCCAGGTCTTTTTATTTTTTATTTTGAAAGAGGTCTCCCCAAGTTGCTTAGGGCCTCACTAAATTGGTGAGCCTGGTTTTGAACTTGCGATTCTCCTGCCTCAGCCTCCTGAGACACTGGGATTAAAGATATATTATGCCACCATGCCTGACCTCTTTGTGTCCTTCACAGACATTATGCTCCTGAGTCTCTAGTAACCCTCATACACTTGACACTCCTAATTCTTTCTCTATATCTGTATCCTGATAGATATAATTATATATACAAAGAATATTTTGTAACACATGCATCTGACACAGGTCTTATGTCCAGAATACATATAAAACCTTGAAAACACATTAAGAAGATAATTCAACTTTTTAACTCAGAGATTTCATTTTAAAAGATAACAAAGCCACGTGTGGTAGTCCATTCCTGTAATCTCACCTACTTGGGAGACTAAGGCAGGATGATCAAAAGTTTGAGACCAGTCTGGGGAACTTAATGAGACCCTGTCTCACAACAAAAAATAAAAAGGACTGTGGATATAGTACAGGGGTAGAGCACTCCTGGATTCAATTCCCAATACTACACACACACACACACACACACTCACACAAGATTATACATTCAAGAATGTTCATAGCAGCTTTATTCAGAAAAGTGCAAAACTGGAAACAATACGGATGTCCATTAATCATGGACAAGTGGACAAATCATGGCATATCCACACAATGAAAACAATATTTAAATATTTAGCAATTAAAAAATTACTGGACATAGAAACACATGAATGAATCTCAAAAACATTATGTTTAGTTAAAGAAACCAAACACATTAAAGGACATATGTGATTCCATTTCTAGGAAGATCTATATGTATAGCTATATACATATTTTATATTTGGTATATATCTATGTATTTATATTGTGGCAAAACTATAGTGATAGAAATCAGATCAGAGGTACTGGGGGTGAGGATGGATTGGAAATGAGTATGAGGAAATGTCTGGGATAATGGAAATTTTCTGTATCTTGATTGGGTGGTGGTTGTACAGGAATATACATTTGCCAAAACTCATAAAACTGTACACTGAAAATGTCTACATGTTACTACCTGAATTTTTTTATATTTATTTTTTAATTTTAGGTGGACACAATATCTTTATTTTATTTTTATGTGGTGTTAAGGATCGAACCCAGTGCCTCATGCATGCCAGGTGGGTGTGCTACCACTTGAGCCACATCCCCAGCCCACTACCTGATTTTTAATGTGTGTTTCTGACATTTATAAATACTATACCAAATACATACTAGATACTAAATAGATATGTAAATAAATACCTTATTTTTTGGCATGACAAAAGGAATACTTATTTATATCTCTAGATAATGAAAATGAAAAAAGAAAGGGAGTATTGTCTGTTTTTCTGATATCCAAAAACCTTATCAAATTCCCTTATTCTGTTGTTTTTAACTGAAGTTCTTAGCATTTCTTAGGCATACAATTATATAAACAGCAAAAGAAATAACTTCATCACTCATTATCCAACATTTATACAGATTACTTTGTTTACCTCTCTTATTACATTCATTGGTCTCCAAAAGAACATTAATAATAATGATCATCAGATGCCCTCTATTTTCTACACATTAGAGGAAATGTCTTAATATCTGATTGTACCATCTCCAATTTTTCTATGGTAATTAATCTCTTCAGATTTTCTACTTTACAGCTCAATATTTTTTTTTAAAGAGAGAGAGAGAGAGAATTTTTTAATATTTATTTTTTAGTTTTCGGTGGACACAACATCTTTGTTTGTTATGTGGTGCTGAGGATTGAACCCGGGCAGCACGCATGCCAGGCGAGCGCGCTACCGCTTGAGCCACATCCCCAGCCCAGGTCAATATTTTTAAGGAGTCACTCACATCTCCTAGATTTTCAACTGTAATAGTCTTGAGTTTTAATTAGTAATTTATAATATTTTAATATTCTTTTCCATCGATGGTCTCCCTTCTAATTCCTATCTTGTACAATTTTGTTTTGTTTTGTTTTAATCAGAGACATGGTGCTTTCAAAGAACCAGCTTTGGGGTTTATTTATACAAGTTTGTATTTTATTCATTTCAATTGTTATATTTATTGCTTCCATTGTTTCTAATTAACATATGTCTATATCTTTACATAGTTTATATTATATATACATATTTTATATTTGGTATATATCTATGTATTTATATTGTGGGTTACAAAATTCTTTTTGAGGATTTACAATTGTGACCTTGAAGCTTGGGGTGGAACATGCATGCACAAGGTCTCCTGGATTCAATCCCCAGCAAAAAAATAAAATTGTACCTGCACCAACCACCCACTTCCTTACACACTTTGTTACTTTGCTTGTTTAAAATTCTTTTTGTACCATTTATCATTTATGATCTTCAAACAACCTACACGAGTTACTTATATATTGCTTATTGTTTAGCCTCTGTTAATTATACACTAATACAAAGTTCACAAGGGCTAGAAATTTTTACCTGTATTATTCACTCATGTATCTTAAAAGCCTTAAATTGTGCCTGACACAAAGTAGGTACTTAAGAAAATATATTAGATGAATAAACCATTATTATCACATAACTCATTTTATTCACGCAAAGGACAAATCAGGCATACTACTGATACCCATTCATTCACCAACATCTGGTTCATCGTCTAGTATGTTTGAGAACCTGCTGGCGCTTAAGTGTATATTAACAAGCCCCTACCCTCACGGAGCCAACAGTCTACATATGAGCAGGAATGGGAGGCAGGGACAGATGCTGCGAATCAATGGAAAAATGTATTGGTTGTACAAATATACTCTTAATATTTCTTATTGATCTCAAATCGGCCGCCGAATCAACTTTTTGACCTATTGTTTTGGTTACTCTCCTAACAGTTAAAAGATGTCGGGTGGTCGAGCTGGAGTTGTGGTTCAGCGGTACAGCACTCGCCTAGCATGTGCAAGGCGCTGAGTTTGATCCTCAGCATCACATAAAAATAAATAAAATAAAAGTATTGTGTCCAATTATTGAAACAACTAAAAAATATGTTTAAAAAAGATGTCGGGTGGTCAAATCCCTCAAACATACCGAGGGAAATTCTAGAAGACAGTGGCTGGACAACAGTCGACCATCACCTTAATCACCCGGAATGGTTTCACGCACGCGCGGGTCTGCAAAACCCATACAGGCGTGGAGGCTGTTATGGGAACATACGGTCTCGGCTGCCTTCCGCCGAGATCAAGGCCGCCTAGTCCGGTGAGGAAGAAATGCGACTCGCCCACAACTAACAGGGGTCAACCGAAGGAGTCCCAAAACACTGGGAACCACCAGATCCAAAAGCAGCCGAAGCACACGAGCGACGTGCAGACACAGCCCAGGGTCCGCGCGCAGCCGCCTCCGAGCCAGGCCCGCCCACTTCGCCCCGCCCCTCGCGCCGGAAGAACGTGCCTGAGCTTCCGGAGGTCTGCGACCCTTGCCGTTGCCTCGGTGATGTCGTGGGTTCAAGCTGCGTCCTCCACCCCGAGCGCTGCTGACGAAGAGGACGTATTTGACGAGGAAGCGGACGAGTCGCTCCTGGTGCAGCGAGAATGGCGGAATCACATGCAGAGACGAGTCAAAGTAAACCTGAGTGGAGGCCGTGGGCACACCCTAGGGTCCCGGGTTGCGGGAGGAATGTGCGGAGTTGTAAAGAAGCTCTTTCCAGCGTGTTCCCAGCTTGGCCTGCTGCCCTCCTTATGGCTTGATTGCCAGTCTGGCCCGCGTCCCGCTAGGATTTCCCAGCGGGTTCCTTGAAAGCGTGTGAAACAACGCATTATAGCCTGACTTATTTTACTCACGCAAAGGGCAAAGCAGGAATAGAGGACCCATTCATTCACCAATATCTAGTTCAACATCTAGGGCTGGGGGTGTAGCTCAGTTGGTAGAGTGCTTGCCTCGCATGTATGCATAAGATTCGAGGTTCAAGCCCCGGGCATCACACACAAAAAGATAACATCTAGTATGTGTCTGAACCAGCTGGTGGTTGAGTGTGTACATTAACAAGTCCCTACCTTCCACTCCAACAACCTACAGTTAAGGCATCCAAGCAGGAATGGGAGGCAGGGAAGATTACTGCGCGGTCTTTGTGAACCTGAGGGCTGCGTTACAAGCTGGGACCTACTTTAAAGATAAAACTATCCAGACTTCGAAGAGTTTGCACTTTGATGAGGATCTCAAGGAGAGGGGTTGGGGAGTAATGTACCCTGACTATACTAATTATGGCTATCAAGGACACAGTGTGCTTGAATGGGTGGGGAACACAAAGGCATATGGAAAAGGTTGAGCTTAAGAATGTTGTCAAGGGGAAAGTAGGGGAAAGCTGGTATGAAACACTGGTGGCTAGGTAAGGCAATATTAAAAGTTGGTTTCTTTTTTATTTGGTAAATACAAAGTGTTCTTTCTTTGTCTCATTATTCATTGAGAACAAGCTTAATTTTCAGGTAAAGCTCTCAGAACTTAGTTCTGGATAAGAACTAAATGATAAGATTTGCATCCACATAATATTTTTGCCAGCCTTATTATGCCCTTAGAGCTGTAGTTAGGAATTTTCCCTAATTTAATGTTTCAGTAAAATATTATTTACTTGGCCCAACAGCCATATTGTCCCTTTCAGAAATGCTTTATTTGAGACTGGTGCTAGTCCAGTAAATACTGAGTGCTGTGACACCCTTGAGAGATGCAAGACAAAATCTCTATCCACAGAAAATTTGCATTTTAGTCAAAGTTAGTAATCAAGTAAAATTCTAAAGCCAAATTTCCCATTTTCTTTTTCTAAAAGTTTACTCTTTTGCTACTTTACTGGCCTCCTTACCCACCTATACCATTCCATTCATTGCCAAGGGGCCAGACATAATTTTCCATGTTTCTTTTCTGTGAAGACATTGTTTAAAATTGTGTAAGAATCAAGTGTTTAAAATTTGCTTATTAAATCTAGACTTCAAAAGTGGGATGCCATTATATGTCCAATGGCATAGTAAAGGCCTATTTCACAGTTTTCTAAATTAGTACTATGCCTTTCTAGAAAAGCCTGCATATGGTTCACTTGGTGTTAATTACAATCACAATTCTTTATTTTTGCCTGCATATGGTTCACTTGGTGTTGATTACAATCACAATTCTTTATTTTTAGGAAGGTTATAGAGATGGACTAGATGCTGGCAAAGCAGTTACTCTCCAACAGGGCTTCAATCAAGGTTATAAGGAAGGTGCAGAAGTCATTATAAACTATGGACAACTCAGAGGAACATTGAGGTAATTTTAAATTACAATGTCGTTACCACTGGTGAATTTTTATGAAAGTAATATAAAAAAGTAAAAATAAAGTATTTAAGCTAAAGTGCTTTCCCTAGTATTGAATGCACAAAATTGAATTACACTGCCTTCAAAAAGTGAAAATTAGCTGGACTAACTGGTGCACACCTATAATCTCAGCAACTCAGGAGGCCGAGCCAGGAGGATCACAATTTCAAGGCCAGCCTCAGCACTTTAGCAGGGTCCTAAGCAACATAGCAAGACCCTGTGTCAAAATTTTTTTAATTTTTAAGAAGAGCTGGGGATATAGCTCAGTGGTAAAGCACCCCAGGGTTCATTCTCCAGTACAAAAAAAAAAAGCAAACAAAAAGTAAAACTCATTATTAGTTCATTCACTTGAATATGTAAACCAGAAGTTATCCATTTTTGCAAACAAATGGTAGGAAAATATATATACTTTTGCTACCCAAACTACCATCAATCTCTAATTAAAAGAAGATTTTGAATAAAGCTTTTAATGTTTGTACATATGGCAGAGCACAATATGATAGACCTCTAGACCAGAAGTACATAATGAAAATTATAGTTAGTAATTGAAAAATTATTCCATTTGTTTTTGTCCTGAGCATTCTGTACCTGTCAGGATTTCATAGCAATAATGGCATATAACAAAGCCAAGTGATCAGATGACACATGGAGCTAAGAACATGACAGACAGGTTTATCCTCTTTGATGCTTTATACGTTTTAAACTCTCCTCTGTAGAGAAAGGCATAAAATATTTCAAAGAATCTAATTTTAGAATAGAAGATGAAAGAAATCAAAACAAAAAATTATTGTGTTCATAGTTTTAGAATATAATATGATAGAAGATGAAAGAAAGATCAAAACAAAATTATCAAGTTCATAGTCTTAGAAAATTTAACTGGATTTATAGTTTACTACAATAGGAAAATGATTAATTATTCATCTTCACATCATCAAGTTAAATTAATCTTTTATATGCTTAGAAAACTTACTGCTAAATCTTTTATGTCTGTTGATTCCGTTATTAAACATTACTTTTCAGCTGGGGATGTAGCTGAGCATTAGAGTGCTTAGCATGCTCAAGGCCCTGGGTTCAATCCCCAGCACCAAAACAAAAAACAAACAAAATAATTACTTTTCATAATAACCATTGTGTTATTTCTGAAATGTAAAATAATAAAACAATATTGTCCATATTAGAAAAGTAAAACATATGTTAAATCTGTTAGGACTAGAATTCTTACCTTTTTCAAGGGAATTGTACGTAGCTCCTTAGATGATTCTAATGGGTGGCCAAGATTAAGAATCACTAGTTCAGGAACTGTTTGATGTCCTTAAAGGAGAAACTTGTTTTACTGATCTTTCTCCAGGTTGTATACCTCTGTAGAAGTTATAGTTATTAGGGAAAGTCTAAAATGTGAAAAGTAGTTATAGAGCTGTGAAAGAGGAAATATGGATTATAAATACGTGATTAAGTCTAATTTGTATTAAAAAATAATGTCCTTATTTTTAAATCCTATTTTACCATTATTAACTTCTGCTTTTGACTGACATTATTATCATTAATACATGTTGCATGATGTTATCTGAAAGAGATTTGTAGGGCTTAGCCTCAAACATTCTAAAAGCCTATGACTTTAATTTTTTACGTTTTTAATTCTTGTTTATATTTTCATTCAGTGCTTTGCTCTCCTGGTGTCACCTTCATGATAATAGTTCAACTTTGATCAGTGAAATAAATAGTCTTCTGGATGCAGTTGGCCAATGTGAAGAGTATGTGCTCAAACATCTGAAATCAATCACTTCACAGCCTCATGTTGTAGATTTATTGGATTCCATTGAGGACATGGACCTTTGTCATGTAGTTCCAGACGAGAAAAAGATTGATGAAACTAAAGATGAAAGACTCTGTGAAAATAATGCTGAGTTTAACAAAAACTGTGGCAAGAGTCCTAGTGGGAAAGATTGTTCATATTTAGAACGTTGTACAACACAAGAGCATTCACATTCTGAAAACCCAAACCTTGCTTGGATTTTAGAACAGACAGCCAGTTTAGTTAAACAGTTGGGAATATCAATAGATGTTTTGCAGCACCTCAAACAACTATAAAAATTATGTTCCCTTTTCTAAGGAATGTCTCAGCATTTTGTTTCCTAATAGGGTAACCAGAATTAATACCATTTCTGCTCTGAACACTTCAGATGTTGTTATCCTTCATGGAAGTTTGCAATGACTTCAACATTAACATTATTATACTATAAGCTTTTTCTGTGTCACTGGTAATTCTTTTGTAGTTTAAGATATGCTCGGAAATTCCAGTTGTCATCATTTTCAAATATCTCATCAAAATTGAACATTTTTAGACTCATTAACAAAAGCTAACAAGAATCAAACATTTTGTAAGAACCTAACACTACTTTCTACTTCCATCACAATCAGGGGGTTCAAGACCTCATCACCAACTAATCAGACCTAAGTTATCAAAAGTAACCTGATGGCTAACATAGACACAGAAATAAATATATGTATAGATATACAGTTTTATATTGAAAGCAGTCTTAATATTGTTGATTAAACAATTAAAAGTAAAATATCAAAATTCACTTTAGTTACATATTGATTAAAAATTAGAGGGTTGAGGATGTAGCTCTGTTGGTAGAGTGCTTGCCGCACATGCACAAGACCCTGGGTTCAATCCCCAGCACCACCAAAATAATAATAAGGACATTCCATAAAGAATACAGAAAATCCATTTCATTCTCAAGTACCTAGTTTTTCCAAATAGTAAAGAGTTATTAAATATTCCAGATTATTCTAAATGGCTGTTTTGCTTAAAATTCACGTAAGAAATAACTGGCTTCTATATTACCTTAAAGTGAATTTTTTAGTCTAGCATAAATTAAAGATTCAAATATTTACTTGAGGATCTAAGCATGTACTAAACTTGGAAAATAATTTTTCGTCACTTTTTTCCACCTGAAATACAAATTTATATGAGGTAGCCAACTTGAGAGGCACCCTGGTAATTGTCCTTCATTGGTAGCCTTAGCTGCTATTTCATCAGTATTTTTATGTACCATACATGCTAAAAGACATATCACTATAGTGAGAGAACCTGCGAAAATGTCTTTTCAAGGGACAAAGAAAATGTACTATGATCTTAGAGCCCTCTTCAGAGTTCACAGAACTTTGAAAAATTGAGGCAACAAATTTTGAAATAAGAATACCATAGCGCTGGGGTTGTGGCTCAGCAGTACAGTGCTCTCCTGGCATGGGTGGGGCACTGGGTTAGATCCTCAGCACCACATAAAAATGAAGGTATTGTGTTCACCTACAACTAAAAATATATTTTTTAAAAAAGAATGCCATAGAGTTTCAGGTTTTATAAAAACCTGCTGAAGCTATCAAAGTGACATTTGGTACCTGGTTTTAAAAAATGTGCCCATATCCAGATATGAACACCATTTTAGAGATTTACTAATTCATCTTGTTATATATTTTTCCATATTTTTAGATGCAACCAAAATCTAAAATCCACACAGAATATTAAAAGCAATCTCAAGTCTTCTTTTTGTTCTGTACTGCATATTACTTGTGAAATATCCATCTCTAGTGATATTATCGCAAGAAGGTCACACTGAGTAAAAACTTAATGATGTTATTGAGATTTTATCTGGGCTTCCCCAATAAGATTCCCAAAAAATAATATCCCTTGTCACCATTGATTACATAGAGCCTGTTTGTAGAAATGTTTATAGAAAATGAAGTCAAAAGAATTCGCTGAGTTGATGATAAGCCTCTGCACTAGAACCAACAAGAGCAAAGGAAGTCCTGCTTAACTTTCGATTTTTTTTTTTCTTTTGCCTTGGTTTATATGTTTGTAGGCATGCCAGGTCTTCCCATGAGAAGACTATAGATGAATATAATTGGAAAGGCAAGATTGCCCCAGAACCAGCACAGCTAGAGTGTCAAGGCCAAGGACCTGGACATTAGGCTGAGTAATGTGTTTTTTAGAAGCAGAATGCTGCAGTCTGGCTGGGCACAAAATCAGGAGCCACTCAAGCAGGAACAAACTTTATTTCCAAAATTCCCGCGAATGCCACGCAGGCGGCCTTCCCCCAGGACACACTACACCAACAGGAACTCCCTCCTCCGGAATTCCCTCCTACTGCACTTCCCCAACCAATGGGAACTCTCCGGGAGTCCCGAGAGAGCTCCAAAGTAGCAGGCCCGAGGTGGACAGCAGGGGTCTAATCTCCAATTGAATGCACATCTTAACATAATCATTATCATCTCAATGGCTTGCTGGGGTCACCTTTCAACCAAAAATATCATGCATCATTCCTACTGGGCTATGGCTCTCAGCAGCAGAAATTGCATTGTAAGTTATTTCTAGGTGTTGACATATCTGGGTATATACATACTTTTTTTGTTCTGGGTATATTTTTTAACAAATCGGGGAGCTCCATTTTCTGACATTTCAATTGCTGGAACTGCTGAGGACATAAAATTTTTTATGATATGTGAACAGGAAATAAGCAACTGGATTCACCTACTTGCATCTTAATCTCATTTACAATCACATCACTTCCTGGAATGCATTCTGAGAAACGTATCATTGGGTGATTTTATTGTGTGAACATTTGAATGTGCTTCAACTAAGATGGTTATGATGTCACTAGGTGATGTAATTTTATAGGACCACCATTGTTTCTCTGGGACCCATTGTTAGCCACAGTGTTGCTAAACTGCACAAGAATCTGTTATCACCATTCAAATGTTTACTTCCTATTCATACTTCCACTTTAAATTGCTTTTTGCTAAGGATGCTGATAGCTAAAGTCACACATCTGCCCATTACTGGCTTGTTCTTGGTCCTACCACTTGTCTCTCCAACAATGGACACAACCAACGAACCTTACAATCCCTTCTGCTTGTATTCTGCAGCAATAGTTTTTCTTTTTGTCCTAGGTGTTACTATTACCTATCATTTGCTAACTCTCCCCTTTTCTGTCTGCCCCTTAACTGTGAGGATTCCCCAGAGTTTCATTCGTGGACCTTTTTTTGTTTTTACACTCTTAAGCAAAGAACCTCACCTCCTCCTATGGTTTCAATTACACTGAATATCCCAAAGCTAATATTTCAACCCCATCCTTCTCCCAAGCTCCAGACATAAATTTGCAACTGCCCATTTCTTATGCCTATTTCAGTGGCTTAGCATAAACAGCATTTCTAAATAGATTTCTATTCCCTTTCCCTCTCATTTCCATCCCAATTTATTTTGTGTGCCTGTGCATGTGTGTGAAACTGGAGATTGAACCCAGAACTAGGCAAGTGCTCTACCACTGAGTGACATTCCCAGACTTTTACTTTGCCTTTGTATTTTCAATCTATTAACATCATCTCTGTTCATACAAAGCTAGAAATCTTTATGTCGTTCTCTGCCTTTCCTTTGCCACCACACCCTACTTGTCAACTGAATATTTTTACATCTTCAGAACATTTTGAATCTGACCTTTCATTTGAATCATCAGATTTTAAATTAAGTTTTTGCCTCATTACTGTTAGTACTTCCAATTTAGGTCATTTCTTTCTTCTTTTCCTTGTCACTATTATCTTCCTGAAACAGTTTATTTCCCTGATTTAAAACCTCAATTTAGGACTGGGGTTGTAGCTCAGTGGTAGAGTGCTTGCCTGGCACATGTGAGACACTGGGTTTGATCCTCAGTGCCACATATAAATAAAGAAAATGAAGGCATTGTGTCCATCTACAACTGAAAATAACATTAAAAAAAAAAAACCTGACTTATTTCTCTTTTTTTCTACTAAGTAAATTATAAACATGAATTTCAGTTCTGAGCCCAAGCAGCATTATGAGTCTTATTTCTCTTTCTGCCTGCTTCTACCCAACCATGCACTCCACACTTATTATACAATACTATAATTCTTCTGGGACATAATAGAGCTACTCCCAACCTCCAGTTTTACTCATTGCTGACTCTTCTGCTGAGAATACTTCATTCTCCATCCTTCTTTCCCAGAAAGTGCTTACTTATCCTTCAATGCTAGCTTAAATTTAAACTTAATCAGTCAAAGAGTTAGTTTACTTCCCCAATATACCCTCTGTATCACTTTGAGTATCTCTTAACTTCAGAATTCTCCAAGAAGGAATAACATCGACAGCACTTAGCATCATATCCTATAACAGATGCATAGGTAATATTCGATGAATCGAGGAAAAAAACAAATAAGTCTACTAGGCAAAATGACAATATAACAAGAAATATAGGATTCCAAAATACATCATACATCCTTTTGTTTTTAGAAGACAAAACAAACCTTTATGTTTGCCTTATTTTAAAAAAAAAAAGTCCATTGTTCCTCCTCATTTTTTATATTAATCATAAAAATCCATGTATCCAATTTGTATTATCATCTTATACCAGGCTAAATACTAACATTAAGACAATAGCACTTATCAGTCATTAAAAACTATACTTCTGAGTTGGGCACCATGGGTGCATGCCTATAATCCTGACAAGTTGGGAGTCTGAGGCAGGAATCATAAGTTTGAGGCCAGCTTCAACAACTTAACAAAACTGTCTAAAAATCTTTTAAAGGCCTAGGAATGTAGCTCAGTGGTAGAACACACCTAAGTTCAATCCCCAGTACTGCTAAAAGAAAAAAACTATACTGGAATATAATGAAAGGCCTAAAACACATAAAATTATGTTTTAGTAAGTCTCACCCATTAAGAAAGTACAGAAAGAAACTACACAAAAGAAAAACCTGGATGAAAACAGTTTAATAAATTATTCGTTTTTAGCAGGATGCCTGATGCATAGTTTTAATGATGCTAAGAAGGAGCTGAAACAAGAGGAGGAAATAGGGCAAGTAATAGCTAACAGTGCTTACTGTATACAGGCACTGTTCTAAAAACTTTACATATTTAATTTGTTTAATTCTCATAACAACCCTATGTCACAGAACTATTATTATCCCATTCTATGATAGGAAAAAAAAAAGTATGAAGAAGGCTGAACAAGTTGTCCAATTCACAGCTATGAAATGACCTGGTTGAGATTTAAACCTATGTTAAGTCTAGCCCCAGAATTTGTGCTCAAGGTAGATGCTCACTAAATAATAACAGTAGCAGCGATCATGTTTAGTGGGGGAACTATGAACTATATTTTCCCCTTGCTGTTTCTACTTGGTATTTCTACTGCATTTTTCAAGACTTCCCCACTCCACAAGTATTATTTTTATAATAAATGTGAATAATAATAAATGAAAGTTTCTCAGAAATTTGTCTTCTCTACATCTAAAACAGGAAAAATACCATTCCTGCCTACTGGGGGAGAGAATCTCCATCATTTAGAATGTGGTATAGAAAAATATGTTCAACATAAACAGAAACTAAATTCTCCTTAGACTCCTTAGACTTCATACTTCCTCACAGGAGGATAATCCAAGTCATTCATTTCATGATAATGTGTCTTTACCTTTCATATATTCCTAATTAAAAAAAAAAAAAAAGACTGTTAGCTCACCTCTTACATACTGCTACATATTTGCCAAAAAGAGCCAAGAGTACTCAGCATGCAAAACACTCCATTTTCTTGTCCCATTAATAGTCTATCTTTCTAGAAAGAAGGTCAGCAAAATACAATCAGAACTACCTACAGATTAAGTTCTAGAGAATTTGGATCCTAGTGCTTTCATATGTTAATAGGCAGTTCAGCTTTAGAGAGGCCCTGGATCTTTGGATCCTGTATCTTTCCCAAAAACTGATGAATTTAGTTCAAGGCCACTGGGTGGTGCTCGTGTACCCTGATATGTTAGTACAGTATGTGTTTCCTAGGTAACTGCCCTTTAGACCTTAGATTTCACTGTCAGAAGAATAAGAAGCTAACAATTATCCCTAGAGCTATGCCAGATAGATTGAATCACTTGTAAGATTGGGTAGGTGGGAAGAATTTTCTGGGTATGTCAGCAAACAAGAAATTAGGACGCCCCCTGTTTATAATTCTAAGCTGAGACTTATTCTAAATCAAAATAACCAATCATAAAGAAGCCAATTTGTAAGGGGGAAAAAAAAAGACCTTCTATACGCCAAAGCTTTGAGTCCTAAAAGAACTAAGAACCCAAAGCATATAGAATTCAGTAAGAAACCATATAAAATTATAATTTCACAGGCATGTAACTCTGCTTGACAGGCAAGACTGCCTAAACCATTAGAAACAATTCTAATCCATCTCTTCATTTGTCACTGTTTTGCTCTCTCTCTCTCCCACACAAGTACAGCTTTTCAGGGTTTAAAGTAGAAGTAGACAGCAACTTTTTTAACCCACTCAAACATATCACAATGCCTTTTTTTTTTAAGTCAAGAAATCTACAACCAGATAGGTTTTTCTCATAACAAATACAACTCATTCCATCTAATAGTTAAGCTGTTCCTTATGAATTGCATAATCACTATTATCTATGGCTTTATTATTTTTTGAAGTTATGTGGTTCTAAGATGGAATTTTTAAACATAAAAGAAATATTTGCTAAATCCCTTATAATAATGACAGTCATTTTACAATGATAGTATTTGTAGTCTTTGAAAAAAAAAAAACTGGACTGATATAAGGGTATAATGTAAATACCTGAAAATAAAATATCTTTCTTTTTTCTTATTTGGAGACATTGCAAACACTTTTCTCCCATAATCAGATCTTGAAATAACCAGGGACTCTCTAACTTGTAACTATAAATTATAAAGTGAAAATGCCAAATCGTTTGCTTATTAAAAACTAACCAGGCCAGGCAAGGTGGCACACTCCTGTAATCCCAGTGGCTGGGGAGACAGAGGTAGGAGGATCACAAGTTCAAAGCCAGCTTCAGCAACTTAGTGAGGCCCTAAGTAACTCAGTGAGACCCTGTCTCTAAATAAAATACAAAAAAGGGCTGGGGATGTGGCTCAGTGGTTAAGTGCCCCTGCGTTCAATTCCCAGTACCAAAAATATAAATAAAAAATAACCATAAATTTCTAATCTCTCAGTTATACTAGAAATTATTGCTATGGAGTTGATTTTTGGAAGGAAAACTCATTTAAATGCATTTAGACATTCAAATCCCAAGTGGGAACTAATTAAACATTTTCATTTGAAATCAGTGTTCTGCTATTCAAGATGCCAAATGATATATTAATAGTCTCCGATTTTAACCTTTTCATAGGCTTCTATGAGGTTCATATAATGTCTGAAATCTGGCAGTATCCATTATGACCCACCCCATTTGTTAGCTTAAAGAGCATTTTTATTTTTCAGTGCTGGATCAAAGGGCACCCTTCATGAAAGGTAATAGCAACACTGAGATCAGAGATATGATCCATTTTCACTAAGCTGCTCCGGGGCCTCTGCCTTTCCAGTGTGAACATTATACTCCTGACCTCACTGCAGGTTACATTTTCCGCAAAGAAGTAACCAGGGGATAACTTGAGAAAGGCAGGCAAAGTAAATTGCTGATGATGAATGATGTTAAATTGATGGAAAGAATGACTAGAGAAGGTGACAAAGAAACTTACTAAAAAATCAGTGTAGCTTTTGAATTTTTAGAACAGAATATGTCTCAAATCAAAGATATTTTAACCCATTTGCCTTAAAAATTCCAGATTTAGAAATCTGATCTAAGAAAATAAATAGGTGGTAAAAGAAACTTTCAGTACAAAGATAATCCATTGCCACATTCTACGTAGAGTAAAATTAGAAACACCCTATGGCCAACAATTTAAAAATTGTTAATTATGTTAGCTTAAATTTGACATACCCATTATAAGTTATCATTATGAGAACTATAGAATAAGCAAAATGTTTATGGTATATATTTAACTGAAAGTCACTATTTAATGTTGAAATGTGTGGATACATTATATTTAAAATGTGTATTTAACAGATAAAATGGAAGATCATTCTCTGTTACAGTAATTATTGTATTAATGTGGTAGGACTGTACGACTTGTTTTCTTTTTCAGAATGATCTTTTGTTGTGAACACTTTGTATAATAAGAAAAATGTTTGAAAAGGTGTTCATTTTTAAGAAGAACTACTATGTGCACTTTCCTGAAAATCAAAATCTGGGGAAGAAAGCAAATGTACTTAATTCAAAACACTGGATCAGAAAAAGATGTGGTGGGGGTGGGGCAATACAATATGTTTTTCAAATCATATCAATCATATTTATTTCTTAAATTATACATAGTATTATAGTTTGGATCTTAAATGTCCTTCAAAGTCCCATGTATTAAAAAGGCTTTGTCACCAGCCTGAAGCACTATTGGGAGGTGGGGGAGGTGAAAACAGGTATCAGGAGACTGACAAGCATGTCCTTGAAGGGGACATTGGGATCTCAGCACCTTTCTTTCCCTTTGCCTCCTGGCCATCATGGGGTGAGCAGCTTTGCTCCACCATGTTCCCCCGACATGACATTCTCCACATACCCAAAAGCAGTGACCATGAGCTGAAACCTCTGAAACCATAAGCCAAAATAAATCTTTCTTCTTTTTAAGTTGATTATCTCCTGTATTTTATAATAGTAACAGAAAACAAACACACTTAATCAACTTTAAACTTTAAATGGAAGAAAAAACAGGTATTTTTTTTAAGCTAAAAGCCCTTTATATTTGCCTGAAGTGAATTTTCTAACAACTCATGTTAAGATTTTACTTCAGATAATACCAACTTGTATAACAACAGTGTGGTATCTGATTCTATTCTCAGTAGTGTAAATGAATTAGCTTTCTTAATTCTTAATTAACAATTATTAATAATTAGCTTTCTTAATTCTTAATTTCTGGAGCTACCTTGTCTTACCAAATAAAAATAAAGCTCTTCATTGAATTTATCACAAGGTTGTTTCTGTTTTCAAAGACAAAGATCAAATTGAAAATTGGGACAACTTGGGTCATGTTTGCTATTATTTTATACACTTTAATAAACAGAAAGCATATGGCATCTATTTATCAAGCAATATGAGCCTCTTAGTTTCCAAATCTATAAAATCTGTAAAATGGAAGTATTGGTAGTAATGTCATTATTTCTGTGAGGACTGCATACAATAACATGTGTAAAATGCTTGCTTGGTGTCAGGCACCTTGTAAGTGCTTACTTAGTATCCCGTAGTGGCTAAAAATGACAGTCCTAAAAGCCAGATTGTCTGCTTGGAAGCACAGCTCCAATCACTTACTAGTCAGTTCTCCTTCCTGTTCTTTTTCTTCATCTCTCAAATAGTGTTTATCTCATAAGATAATTAAAAGAAATAAATCTCTGTGTTTGATTGGTTATTGATTGGTTTGCTGGTGCTGGGGTTCAAACCACATGCATTGTGGGTACGTATATGCATGTACTCTATCACTGAGCTATATCCCAACCCCCCCCACACACACACACATCAATAAATGAATCTGAACATGTAGAATGCTTAGGAAAGTACCTTGAATGTATTCAATGCTCACTAAACATTAGCTATTATTGTCATATTTTATCCTGAGCCTGCAATTTAGCAAGGGGTTTAACCATCTTTAGACAACTTTAGCTATCATGAAATTGCCATGACTCAGACACAGCCAAGCTTCCTACTCGTGTAACTAAAGGGAATTAGCATGATTATTTTTCTCCATTAGTATTTTAAAAGAAAAGGTGAAGGGAAGGAAAAGAAGAAAATGTTTTCAACATTTGCAAATGTTAGCATAAAAGTATATTTTAGCCAGGCACAAGGGTGCCTACCTGTATTCCCAGTGACTCGGGTTTGGATGTGATTTGTCCCCCAATTGTTCATGTGTTGGAGGCTTAGTCCCTACTGTAGCAGTGTTGAGGTGGCAGGACCTTTAAAGAAGTGGAACCAACAGGTAGGTTACTGCAGTCAATTGATTAAGATAGATCTCATGAGATCCTGAAGTTAGTTCTTATAAGAACCAGCTGTTATAAAAGATCAAGCCTGGCCACTCCCCACCATCTGGCTTCCTGTCTTGACATGTGATATTTCCTTCTTGCATGCACTCCAGCCATGATGTGATGCAGCTAAGGGGCCCTCACATGAAGCTGGCACTGTGCTATTTGGACTTTCAGCTTCAAAACTTTAAGCCAAGTAAACTTTTCTTAATGAGTTACATAGTCTCAGATATTTTGTTATAATAATGGAAAAAGCACTAGCAATGGACTATTTGTTTGCTAGGATGTCATCATGAGATACCACAGATTGGGAGGCTTTTCACAGACATATATTTGCTCACAGTTCTGGAGGCTCGCAGTACAAGATCAAGGTGTCAGGCTGATTTGGTTTCTCCTGAGGCCTCTCATCTTGGCCTGCAAATGGCAATCATCTCTGTGTCCTCACATGATTTTCTCTATGCACACACAAACATCTCTGGTGTCTCTTTATCTGCCCAAACTAAGAACACCAGTCCGATTGGATTAGGGCCCACTCTAATGCCTCATTTTGTCACTTCTTTAAAGATCCTAACTCAAAATACAGTCACATTCTTATATTCTGAGGTACTGGGGGTAGGGCTTCAACATGAATTATGGGGATAAAATTCAGTCCATAAAAGGTGAGGACATGGAAGATTTACTTGAGGGTTGGGGGGTGCTGGGGATTAAACCCAGAGCCTTGTGTATGCTAGGCAAGTGTTCTACCACTGAGCTATACCCCCAGCCAAGATGTACTTTTCTTCAGTAATATTTTCCACAATGTTTCTATAATATTCAAATATTCTATGAGGAGCCTAATTATTTTATAATCTGGAAAAGCAATAAATTAAGACAAAATAATAATATATTTATATTTAAGATAGAGTTAGGTTGTAGACTTAGATAATTATAAATAGATTTTTAATTTACACAAATGTCTCCTGGAGCATTGGAAAGTCACTCTGCTTTTAGAATTTACTTTAAAAAATATACAATTTAGTTTTAGCTTAAAGTACTTTTTTATTATAAAATAAGACACATAGTTTCAGAAGTGATAGAAACTAACTTATAAATTGGTGTGTTGTTTATCTTTGATAATAGAGTAAGGATTGTCAAAACAAGAGATCACAATAGAAGACACAAATAAATTATTTGTTCTGACAATTTTAGACTCTAGGGCTTCTCTATGAGAAGGTCAGCTCCTTATATAAACAGAATGCTACCCAAAACAAAACCAGAAAGTATCTGAGACAGTGTTCAAGACAACAAACATGTACACAGTGAGGAGAAATAAAAATGCAGTCTATTTCTTTTCTGCTGTAAAACATGTTGCATAAATGTATAAGAATGAGAATCATTTTGGTAAAAAAATGCTTTCATTATAAAAAAGTTTTGAATTCTTCTCTCTCTCCTCCAAAAAAGTTTCAGTCTGTGACCTGGATAAAGAAGTCAAAACAAGATGACAGATGACATTAATTTCACATGAACCTTAAGTCTATAATGTAACTGTACTTACCATCTTCTTTACTCTAAAAACGTTTAACATTCAGGGGTTGGGGGTGGCTAAATGATAGACCATCTAGCTGTCATGTTCAAGCCCTAGGTTCAATCCCCAGCACTGCAAAAAAATTAAAATAAGTTTAACATAAATACATCAATATCAAATCAGTAGACTTAACTTTCTTCCTTTAGGAAATTTCCAACCAAATTGGAGTTAAATTAATCTTACTTTAAAGTACAAGAGGAGCTGGGGTTGTAGCTCAGTGGTAGAGTGCTCGCCTAGCATGCTTGAGGCACTGAGTTCGATCCTCAGCACCACATAAATGTAAAATAAAGATATTGTGTCCACTTAAAAAAACTAAAAAATAAATATTAAAAAAATATAAAGTACAAGAACAGATATGTAAGACTAGTGACTGTTTTGTGACTTATAAAAGAGAAGCATCTCTCCAAAAGCAGTGGCCTGAGAGGTACCATGAGACAGGAAGAACTGGCTGCAGGACAGTGATTCCTTAAGTTGACCAAAAAGGAGGGAGACTCCAGTTTAAGCCTAGAAAGAGGGATCCCTGCCAAGTCTAGACAGTAATTGCATCCCACACCTCAAACATACCCCTCTAACTAGCAAGGCTGGAGCATAGCCCTACCAGAGTCAAGAAGGGAAGGTCACCCAAACTTATCAGTAGGCACCTCTTTGCCATGATGTATCAATGCTCACAGTGACGATGGTAAAAAGAATCAAGAAACATAGGTTTTGGAAACGTATAAACATTATTTATCTAGTAAGCAATGATCAAAGTCTAGGATTAATGAAATAAAAATAGATAATGAAAAACATCACTGATAAGATTTTTTTTTAAGTCTGACTTTAAAGCAGCACAAAATGGTTTCTTCCACACAAGCATAAGCTTTGTGCCAATGTTTCTCAGAATCAATTATGGCTCTAGTCTAGCCTCAGTTTGAGAGGTTTTTTTTTAATAAAGATACTATACTATATAATATTCTCTATGAGGTAAACTCCTTATGTAAACAAAATTATTCATAGGAATATAATATAATATATTCCTCTGTCAGAGACAAGGTAAAAGAGGAATGAACAAGAAAACTTCCATTCAGAGTTCCTGGAATAGAAAGCACTCTAGATTCCTGTGGGTATGAGCACATGCAAACATTATGGTTTGGATATGGGTGTCCCCAAAAATCTCCTGTGTTAATGCAGAAATATTCATAGGTAAAATGACTTAATTGTGGGAGCTGTGACTTAATCAGAATGGACTGACTTGGTGGTAACTGTGGGCAGGTGAGGCATAACTGGAGATGGTCTTTGGAGGTATGCACTGAAAGGGTGCTTCTTCCCTGTGGCCCCTTCCCCCAATTCCCTGCTTCCTGACCACGCCAGGAGCTGAGCAACTTCTCTCTGATGGGCTCTTCCCTCATGATGTGCTGCCTCACCTTGGGCCCAGAGCAATGGACCCCACTGTCTTTGGACTAAGACGGCTAAAACTATGAGCCCCAATGAACTTTTCCTCCTCTGAGTTGTTCTTGTTGAATATTTTGGTTACAACCATGAAAAAGCTAACTAAAACACAGGGTTTGATATTAAGGTCGATGACAACTGTTTCTTCTCTTCTATCTCTGGGACATCCATCCTGGGTGGCTTCATCCATTGGGATGACCTGTGCACAGATCAGTTCCATTGGGGAGGGCTTCTAGGCTCTTTTGAAGGCCTGGATGGTAAACTCCAGAATCAGACATCTAAAAACGTCTTGGTCCCCCCCCCCCCCCAAAAAAAAAAAAAAAAAAAAAAAAACTCCTTTCTGAAGAATTTCTGTCCTTATTCCCACTTCCAGAATCTATGGTGCTAGGATTTGGCCAAGCAAAGCTGTAAAGAAATGAGAAATTAACCAGCCTCTAGGCCTTTGCTTAGAAGAACAGGGAGGGGTACTGCTTGGGATATACTGGGTTCATGCAGGCTGCTTCTCTTCTTTTGTTATCTTTCCACTCTGCAGTTTGTGGAATACTTTTGCCATCAGAGGCACTTGGTCTTCTCCATGGTAAGGCCCTTGTGGGTTGTGTAGCCAGCATGTCTCAGCCTTGTCTGTTCTCAAAATGCTAAATGCTCTCCTGGGTCTGTTTTGTGATCAGAGAATTCATGATGCTATGGGTGACTCTAGCCTTCACCACTGGGACCTTGTCCATACTGTCAGTGACCATTGACAGGAGCGGGTGGGATTGTGTCTCAGTGGTAGAGCACTTGCCTAGCATGCATGAGGTACTAGGTTCGATCCTAGGCACCATATAAAAAAAATGAACAAAATAAAGGTATTGTGTCCATCTACAACCAAAAAAAATATTTTAACAAAAAAGGGCTGTGAATGTGACTCAGTGTGTGGATGTGACTCAGTGGTTAAGCGCCCTGGGTTCAATTCCCAGTACCAAAAAAAAAAAAAAAAAAAACCTTATCAGTAATTTAGGTTATCTTGTGAACACCATCAGGCAGACAGAAGTCTAATATCTAATAAGAGATAGTGTTTGATAATTGAATGGATTTGAGAAAAATAATCAGGGGTAGGGATGTAGCTCAATGGTAAAACACTTGCTTATCGTGTGTAATGTCCTGTGTTCAATTTCCAGCACTGAAGAAAAACAAAAAAGATAAAGGTAAAACTATTTGTTAGTGTGTATCCAACATAGTCCTAATAAAAGAAGTTTTAACTGAATGCCCAGTCATTCACAGGGTCAGCTGTAAAACCTGTAGATTTTAACTCCTATTGCTTTAATTCAGTCCTTTACCAATTTTTGCCTGGCCTCTTGGCATAATCCTCCTGGCTTCCCTGTGCTCCACATTACCAGAAGTGTTGCAGAGGAGACCTGCCGACAGAGCTGAAGTAGCAGCCGGTATCTATAGCTACAAGTTCTTGCAATTCCACAGGAAGATCGTCCAGTGAGTCATCAGAGTATAGACAGGAGTTGATTATAAAAGTGAGAAATGAAGGTAATGAGATAGGCACCATACACACTGCCTCTGGAGAGAACAGTATGGCTTTTACAGAATCTAGGTGTGTGTGTGTTTTTTTTTTTTTAAGTTTTGAGTTCTTTCATTCTTAGTTTTGCATTCCCCCTTTTGTAGAACCCTCAGCAAATTTCCTTTGGGAGAATCCTGATGACCTAGTAACAAGGTATGGGTGTGACTTATGCAATTATCTATGGTTTGACATACCCATTTTCCAGATGTTTGTCTGTTTTGTTAAGGTTCCCTGAGATTCCTAGTTCTATAATCTATGGCTTGTCTTTGATGTATAATGCCTGATGTCCTCCCTATAAGTTACTGCCCTTTGTTTTCCTTCCCACACCTTCTTGCTCATGGCTGACTAGTTATCTAACAGAAAAATCTTTCTAAAATTTAAGTTTGACCATACCGTTATCTTACTTGTTGTCTCAATGACTGTAAAGCAATGAATACCAGCCTTCCTTTGCAATGTGATCTCCAATCAGTACAACCAAAGATACTTACACATCAGTGATAGAAACATGTGCTATTTCCTAAATAATCTATGTCCTTGTAAGTATCTGTTACTGTTTTTTTAATATTTATTTTTTAGTGTAGTTGGACACAATACCTTTATTTTATTTATTTATATATGGTGCTGAGGATCCAACCCTCGGCCTTGCATGTGCTAGGCAAGTGCTCTACTGCTGAGCCACAACCCCAGCCCTCTATTAGTTTTAATCAACTGTGACCACTGTGACAAAAAGACCTTAACAGAACAACATAGAGAAAAAGTTTATTTTGGCTCACAGTTTCAGAGGTTCTTTCCACAATCAACTGACTCCATAGCAGTTGACTATCGCTCCATGGCATAAGGACATGGCAGAGGAAAGCAGCAACCAGGAACCAAAGAGAGCTCCACTCACCAAGGACCAAAAAGTCACAGCCCCAGTGACCTACTTCCCCCAGCCATACCCTACCTGCCTACAGCTACCACCTAGTTAATCCTTACCAGTGGATTAATCTACTGATGAGGTTATACCTCTCATAATCTAATCTTTTACCTCTGAAAATTCTTGCATTGTTTCAAACATGAGCTTTGTGGGGACACATCATATCTAAACCATAATGGTTATGGTGCCTAGAATGAATTTTTTCCACTGTCTCCTCCTTGCACCCTCCCTCCCCTTTGCCCAAAGTTCCTCCACTTTTCCCATGCCTCCCCCTTCCCTGTATGGATCAGCATCCACTTATTAGAGAACATTTGGTCTTTTTTGGGGGGGGATTGGCTTACTTTGCTTAGCATGATATTCTCCACTCCATCCATTTATGAGCAAATGCCATAATTTTACTGGTAATAATACATACCCAAATTGATTTTTACTTTTATTAAAATTAATTAAATGCTTATATTATTTTTAATGTAATAAAAACTGATTTCTCAAAATTTTTTATAAAAAATAAATTGGCTTGTTTAGATTTAGTATGTGATTTAGTAACTATTTTAGGTTTTTTGTTTTTCGTTTTTTTTTTTTTTAATGTGAAGATAGGACTTCTGTATTTAAATTTGTATTCCTCTTAACTGCTGCTAATAAAAGGATAATCAGTTTTGATCACTTATTCAGTTTCAAGCCTTTATGTTTTCCATAATTAAAGGTAATTTACTTAAGTACCTTACATCTCCATTACAAAATACACTCCTGTTTCCCAGGAGGCCTATCAAGGGTAATTCCCAGAAATAGCAGCAGCAGCCAGGATGGAACCAAAGCAGCTGCAAGCTGTCAGCATTTAAGGAACTGCAGCCTGATTTCAGGAAGCAATGCTGGGGAGGCAGTAGACAGACATAAGGTCATACATCACCACAGAGATCAAGACAATGACTCACCAAAAGTCCCTTTCCAAACCTTAGGACATAGAGGAAAAAAACACCTGACTTCTGTCACTAATAAAATATTTATGTGTAGTACTTTACAGCATGTGATTGTAGAAGCAGAGAAATTCAGAACACAAAGCCCCATCAACAAGAAAATCATGTGTATATGAATCAATTATTGTTGTACATAATATAAATTTAAGTACTTAGTATATTAAGTAATTACTAAAGTATTACGTTAGATATTATATACCACAAT